TCCTCCTCCTCCTCCTCCTCCTCCTCCTCCTCCTCCTCCTCCTCCTTCTCCTCCTCCTCCTCCCCCCCCCGATGGCGCTCCCGCCCCCTCCGCGCGCTCGAGGGAGCTGCGGCAGCTCCTGGGCTTGGATCCGGTCAGCGAGGAGGATGCGCTCGGCCCCGGCGGTGACCACCGCGGAGGCGCGGCGGCCCTCCGACGGGGATTTTTGTTGTTGCTCTAACCAGGCAGCGGACACTTTTCATCGACCATAGGGGGAGAGGGGGGAGGGGGAGGAGGTGGTGCGCTCGCGTCATATCTGACATCCTACCCCTCCCTCCCATCCCTTACCATGGCGTAGATCCCCTCTCTACTCGCAGTCGGATGTCGAGCAGGGCAATGATCCCGAAAGGGTACGCGATGCATTGTAGAGCACGGCATGGCATGGCGTAGAAGAGCACCGCAAAGCGTAGTATCAACCTAGCATTGCATTGCATGCCGTGGCATGGCACGGGAAATGACGCCAGCGCTGCAGCGGGAGCACGAGTCGGAACAAGCGGAAGCGCGGAAATGAGGCCAGCGCTGCAGCGGGAGCACAGTTCGGAACGAGCGGAAGCACGGAAATGAGGCCAGCGCTGCAGCGGGAGCACGATTCGGAACGAGCAGGGCCCGAAAATGAGGCCGGCGCCGCAGCGAGAGCAGCATTTTGGAAAAAATGCAGGCGAAAACCCAACTCTTGGTAATCCTGTGTGTAAAAAACAATACACGGGGGGGGGGCTAATACTTTCAAATCGTCATCAGGGGAAGAGGGAGAGTAGTACTCATATTGTAGTGGCCTTCGGCCAGTGCCGCCGATCCGGGTCGCTCGGGGTTATTCTCCAGACGCAGAAATTATGGGCGCACACTCAAACGCACACACACAGTCACACCACTTAACCTGCGCCGCAGACATGCGCACACAGCATCACCCACACACACATACTAGTTGGGAAACGCTCCTGTAGTACTAGTAGTAGTATTAGTAATAGTAGTAGTAGTAGTAGTAGTAGTAGCAGTAGTAGTAGTAGTAGTAGTAGTAGTAGTAGTAGTAGTAGTAGTAGTAGTAGTAGTGGTAGTAGTGGTAGTAGTGGTAGTAGTAGTAGAGGCCTCGTTCCGCGGCTTCTCTCGACTTCCCGCGGTCTCTCTCAAGTTTCGAGCACGCGGTGAGTTTCACGATATATGTGTGTGTATGTACGCGTGCATGCATGTATGCATGCATTGATCATGTGTGCCTGTGTGTAGGTACGTATGTATGTATGTATGCTTGTGCGCGTATGTATGTATTTAGTTTGTATGTATGTTTGTATGTGTGTATGATAATATGTGTGTATGTGTGTGAATGTAAGTATGTATGTCTGGAAGATTGTTTTTCTATGTATGCAAATGTGTTTAAATGTAGGTATGTATGCATGTGTGTATGGATGTGCGTTTGAAGAGCGAGGATGTTTCAAAGAAGAGGCACTCGGTGACGCGATCGTTGAGGGATAGGAGTGAGGTCGCAGAGGAGGAGGAGGAGAATGAGGAAGAGGCGATAACTTGAAGGAAAACGATGAGACGGAGGACATCCTGCCGGTGGCGCCCTGGGCGGTGCCGCGGAAGAAACCGGGGGCCTGCCGGAGGCAGTCTGGAGGCCTCTGGGGAGCTGTTTTGGGGCCTCTTGGAACCTCTTTTGGGCCTCTTGTGGGCTTCTTGGGGCCCCTTGGGGGTCTCTTGGGGCCTCCTGGGGGCCTCTTGGGGCGGAAAGCTCGGTTCTTTCGGTTCGTGGTCCCCCTCTTGGGCCCCTCTTGGGGCTCTCTTGGGGCCTTCTTGGGCTGTCCAGAGGCCCTCTTGGGCCGTCTTGGGGCCCTCTTGGGCCGTCTTGGGGCTCTCTTGGGCCGTGTTGGAAGCATCGTGGGCCGTCTTGGGACGGACTTGGGGGCCTCTTGGGCCGTCTTCGAGCGTCGGACGCCCGAAAAGGCAAGAACGCTAAAAACCCTGAGAAAACCAATGAAAATCAACGATTCTGGCCTCTTGGGGCCCTCTTGGGAGGCCTCTTGGAAGCTTCTTGGGGCGTCTTGGAGACACCTTGGGCCGTCTGGAGGCCATCTCGGGCGTCTTGGAGCGATTTTTCGGCGACTCGGGGCCCTCTTGGAACCCCTTGGGGGTCTCTTGGGCCCCCCCCCCTCCTCCAAAGCGCCGGAAAAAGCGGAGCATGGCGCCCCCCCCCCCCCTATCTTCCACTCCCCCGGAGCGGCCCCGGGGTTCGCCGGAAACTCGCACCCCCCCCCCCCCCCCACCCCCCCTTCCCCGGCAGAGCCACCCCGGCGACCCCCCCAGAGGCTGAAGCTCAGCCTCGAGGCTGTAGCTGAGACTCCTTGAAACTCACACGCCGGATCGGCGGATTGAGTAATTGAAGAGGAGGAGGAGGAGGAGGAGGAGGAGGAGGAGGAGGAGGAGGAGGAGGAAGAGGAGGCGGAGGAGGAGGAGGAGGAGGAAGAGGGAGGAGCGAGGAGGGGGGGGGAGAGGCGAGGGGGAGAGGGGGAGAGGTGGGGAGAGGGAGGGGGAAGAGGGAGGAGGGAGGAGGGGAAAAGGGAGTGGGGAGGGAGGGAGGTGGGGAAGGGGGGAGGAGGAGGGAGCGGGGGAGGAGGGGAGGAGGAGGGGGGCAGGAAGGGGATGATGATGATGATGATGATGATGATGATGATGATGATGATGATGATGATGGTGATGGTGATGGTGATGGTGATGGTGATGCTGATGGTGATGGTGATGGTGATGGTGATGGTGATGATGATGATGCTGATGATGAATGATGATGATAATGATGATGACCCTTATTGTGATGACGACGATGACGATGACGATGACGATGTTGACGATGATGCTGACGATGATGCTGCTGGTGATGATGATGATGGTGACGTTGCTGCTGCTGATGCTGATGATGATGATGTTGCTGCTGATGCTGATGTTGATGATGATGGTGGTGATGATGATGGTGTTGGTGATGATGATAATAATGATGCTGATGATAATTATGATGGTGGTGGAGGTTGCGTTGATAATGATGATGGTGACGATGATGCTGATGATGATGGTGATGGTGATGATGCTGCTGATGATGATGATGCTGTTGATGATGATGATGGTGGTGGTGATGGTGTTGATGCTGGTGATGATCATGCTACTGATGATGATGATGATGATGATGATGTTGGTGGTGGTGATGATGCTGATGATGATGAAGATGGTGGTCATGATGATGCTGATGATGGTGATGGTGGTCGTGGTAATGATGATGCTGATGATGATGATGGTGGTGGTGATGATGATGCTGCTGATGATGATGATGATGTGGTGGTGACGATGATGATGTTGCTACTGCTGATGATGATGATGATGATGATGATGGTGGTGGTAGTGATGGTGGTGATGATGATGCTGATGATGATTATGATGGTAATGCTGATGATGATGCTGATGATGATGATGATGATGGTGGTGATGATGATGATGATGATGATGATGATGATGAGGCGGATGAGTGGAGGAAGTGGATGAGGAGAAAGGTGGAGAGAGGAGTCTGGAGGGGGGTGGAGCAGGAAGGTGGCAGGAGGAATGCGAAGGGGGGACGAAGGAGAAGGAGGATGGGGGGAGGGAGGTTGGCCTCCGTAGGCTTCTGGAGGTTTCCAACATAATGGCAAACATTTGAACTTCGAGCCCTAATTCTCTAACTTCGCCGTCTTCGCCGTTGTCGCCCTCGCTCTCGACGTCGTTGTCGTCGTCGTCGTCGTCGTCGTCGTCCTCTCCTCCTCCTCGTTCACGTTCTCGTTCTCGTCGTCGTTCTCGTCGTTGTGCTTGTCGTCGTCGTCGCCGTCGTGCTCCGTAGCCATTTTGGCTCAAAATGTTTTCGCCCCATGGCAGAGCACGGAGATCCTTGGTCCAGGGACAGCAAGAAGGACTAAGCTTTCACGCCTCCCGTGCGCCCGCACGAGTGAGCTTCATATTCGGCCCGTTCCAGCCATGGTGCCTGCCCCTGTCAATCGCGATGGTATCGGTTCCCCTGGCAGCGGCGCCAACAGCAGTTTCCAGCGTCGCCCGTGGACACAGGTATGGCCTTGGCAGCGGCAAAAGGAAAGAGGACGCAAAGCATTCTGTCAGCAGTGTGGTGCATGGCTCTTCACGGACAGGCTTGCGGACGCAGAGTTCAAGTGCAAGTGCGGCGCCAGTTGCTGGGGGTGGAGCCTCCAGGAGGATCAGTTCCCGATCGTGGTCAACGAGACGGAGGCTGGGACGACTGGAGCTGGCCAATTCTCAGTGCAAGCGGTCGCGGCAAGAGCAAGCGGAAGGCATCGCAAGGAGGTGGCGATCATCGACCAGGAGGCTACGGCAATCAGTCTGGACGAGAAAGTGGCAGCGCTACTCGCACAAGCAGCCGCATTGGCAGGCGACGGCGCTTGGAAGCAGAAGCTCGATGCCCTTTGTGCCGAAACAGAACTTCAGCCACCAGCGGTGCAGCATCCACAGCCTGGATCCCGCCAGGCGTTCCGAGCAGCAGAAGATCGACTACAAAAGGCACAAAGTGCCAGGACGAAGGCGCGCAGACGACGTGGGCGGCTACGAGAAGAACTCAAGCAAGCTGAACAAGACTTCAAGCAACGCAGCGCAGAAGTGGCGGGAGCAGAAGCAGACGTCAAGGCCGAGCTCCACCGGCACCCTCTCGGCGGCGACTTCAGGAGAGACGGCGACAACGACTAGAAGACGCAGCGGGTCTTACCGCTCGGCGCGATCCTGGAGGACGAGGAGATTGATGTCGACTTGGGGGGCCTTTTCGAGTTCGGCAGCGACGACGTCAGCGAGGCAGACCAGAAGGATATCGAGCCCAGGAAGAAGCAGTTCCTGGCAGCCGCGATGGGAGCGGCGAAGGTGGCTTTCGTGCAGGCGGCGGCGGCGGCCCTCAAGCAGCAGAGGCTGCAGGAGCAGGATTTCCTCGATCGGATTCGGAAGAAGCGCAAAGTGGACGCACCCGACGCCGAATTCGGAGGAGACGAAGCAGGAGCGGGGACGCCAGCAGCAGGCGGGACCCCAGCGGCTGCTGGCGCAGCGGGCACGGCACCAGCAGCAGCAGCACCTCCGACGGCAGCGGCGGCGCCAGCAGCAGCATAGCTATCCGAGAGGGACGCGAAGGAGAAGCGCGAGCTCGCGGCGGCGGTCGAGGCCGCGAGGGTGGACGCTGCAGCTGGACGAGGGGACGCAGCGAGTTCCTAGCCATGCCATTTTCGCGCAGGACCTTTCGACCTGGGGGCCGAGGCTGGAGAACAAGTGCGACTCGGTCAAGGATGACGCGATCATCTTCCCAGAGACTCATGTCGGCATCGAGGGCGCCAACGAGATCGTGGAGCACCTCGGCTTCAGGGGTTTGAAGTCGGTAGTCGCGCCGTCCACGAAGAACAGGCGCGGCGAGCTGGCAGGCGGCGTCGGCATGGCTATTAGAGGGTTCTTGTCGGTGACGTCGACGAGGCACCTCGCATCGAAGAGGGGGCAGGCAGCGGGGCCCAGACAGCTCGACAGCGAGAGGGGGCCAGGGCCAGTCGACTTCCAGGACATGGTGGCGGCTCAGTGGCGGTGGCGAGGGCAGTCGGTTCTCGTCGTCGGCGTGCGTTTTGCATCGTCGATCGGCATGGGCGGCGAGAACCAGCAGAAGATGGCGCGCATAGCGGCGCCCACGCGCGGTCGCAGCGGGCCGTGGGCGGCGATCGGCGACTGGGACGCGGGGCCGACCGAGATGCAGAAGGCAGGGTGGCTCAAGCTGCTCGACGCGAAGGTGGTGGCGCCAGCAGACGTCAGTTACACGTGCGCGCGCAACCCAGCGCGCATGCATGATTACGCGGTGTGCTCGGAGTCTTTCCTGATGATCGTGGACAGAGTGGATGCCGATCGTCGCGATCCTGGCGACCACTGCCGAGTGAGGGTGCACTTGAAGGGCGACGCGAAGATCGCGATCCAGCGCAACCTGCAGCTGGCCAAGCCTTTCCCGTTGCCCGATCTGCCGAAGAAGAAGGCGGACCCGGACAGCAAGCGGTCCAGGCAGAAGGCGAAAAAAGCAAAGCGAGTTCAAGGCAGGTGCGTCGAGCTCTGCGAGGAATGCGGAACCCCCGCCCACCTCGGAGCCCTCCCCCCCAAGGTCCGGCGAAGGCGAGAGGCAGAAGGGCGCGGTCGTCTGCGAGGCCGTGCCGCCCGAGTGCCAGCCAAAGGACGAGATGGAGGCTGATGGAGGACCTCTTCGGGGAGTCGAGCGAGGAGGGCGGCGCGCTCAGCGAGGGCGAGGGCGACGAGAAGGGGGCGGCTCACAAGCCCCAGGCGGATGAGATTCGACCTGGCAATCGCCGAGCGCAACACTTTGTGGCAGGAGAAGTTCCGCGCGGCGATCACAGAGGACCGCGTCGCGTGGAGGCAGCCGGCGCAGCGCGCGAAGGGCGCGCTTGCCTTTGCTTTCGACGAGGAGGGATCGCGAGAGCTTGGGGCGCGCTACGGCGCATGGGCATACGCAGTGGAGCAGCGCTACATGGCGCCCCCGCCGGTCGAAGCCGAGGAGCGGAGCATCTACCTCGGGCGCGGCGACGAGGTCAGGTTTAAGCAGGGCAAGGCGAAGCTCGGCATCGGCGTTAGCGCCTGCCTGGGCCAGACCATCAGGTGGCGGGGCACGCTGGCCTCGCACCTGGTGGAGTTGCAGCGCTGCGAGGGCAAAGGAGAGAGAGAGAGAGAGAGAGAGAGAGAGAGAGAGAGAGAGAGACAGAGAGAGAACTCAGCGGCTTCTCGATGACTGCAGGGCTCTCAGCAGCACGATGCCCAGCGGCGGCATCATCAAGATGACAGCGAAGCAGAAGCGGAAGTGGCGAGTCGCTCTCAGCGACGTTCGCAACATGTCCAGCGAGCAGGTGCAGCGCTTCGGGGCGGCGGCGCTGACCACAGCGAAGAAAGGGAAGCGCGCGGAGGTCGGCGAGGCTTTGCTGGCCTACACCAACTGGGTGCAAGAGCAGGGGGCGGCTGGCAGCGGCGCGCTGCGCAGAAAGACGAAGGGCAAGCCCAGGTGCGACAACGAGGCGCGCAGCCAGGGCGTTACCGCCTCGGACATGGTGGAGTGCATGGATGCGAAGGGCGCACAGTGGCGGAAGAAGTGGAAGAGCAAGTTCAGCTCGCAGGCCACCTTGCAGCGCCTGGAGCGGTCGCGTGAGGCGGCGATGGAGGGGAGCTGGGCGCCAGTCGCCATCGAGAGCTTCAACGACGCCATCAACGCGATGGCGAAGAGCACGGCGAAGGGCGTCGAGCAGATGGGAGCCTTCGCCTTCAAGTGGCTTCCTCCGGACGCGCGAGAGGAGTTGCTCGGCATCGTCGAGGAGGTCGAGCGCGTCGGCACCTGGCCGTGGCCGCTGATGGTCACGCTCGCCTGCCTGCTAAGGAAGGATCCAGGAGGAGACCGAGCGATTGGGCTGCTACCTGAGGTGGTCAAGCTATGGTCGAAGGTGCGCAGCGAGTACGCGAACGAGCGGGTCGTCGCCATGGCGGGGAAGTGGGTCGCAGCGGTCGCGGGGAACAGCGCTCTTAAGGGAGGCCCTCGTCCGCTCCTTTTCCGACGAGGTGATCGAGTGGATGCCCGCGAAGATCTACTCGGTGACGGCCCTCTGAGGGGCCCAGCCTCGGCCTACCAGCGCGCACTTTGTACCTGGATATGCTGAGCCACCTGAGCGCGCGCCCCATCAGAGAGAGGACGGCGTGTGCAGAGCCGATCGCGCCAGACAGATCGATCTGCGCGGGTGCGAGGCGAGTCATCGATTTCGGCATGGTCGCCCACTACGGCGTGCTCGAGAAGGTGAGCAGCAAGCACGAGCAGGTGCGTGTGCGGTCGTGGGTCGACGACGCCACGACTAGGATGGATGGCTCCAAGAGGGAGGTGATCAGGCAGTTCGCAGGGGCGGCGTGGACTTCGGCGCGGGCGCCAGGAAGGCGAAGCTGACTCTCTCCACCAAGTCGGCTCTCATCGGCAACGACATGGGCGTGGTGAAGGAGGTGGCGCTCAAGCTTCACTCGCGCGCGGTCACGGTCAGGGTGAAGCGCCAGGCGCCCGACCTGGGCATCGACCGCGGTCGCAACATCGCGGGCGGCAAGGGCAAGCACGCGAAGCGGGTTGGCCATGCGGATCGACAAGTGGCACGCGTTTTGAAAATGGCGCGTACTGGCCGACGTTAGAGCAAGAGCTCGAGCGGTGGTGCAGCGCGGGCCTTTGCCGCGCGCAGCCTATTCGTGCAAGGTGTTCGGGATGGCCCCCAGCACTGCTGAAATGGCGGCGGAGGCTAGCAGCAGCCATTGCCCCGAAGCTGACGGGACGGTACCTCGCGACGCTGCTCAGCCTGGATATCGCAAGAGGAGACCCCGAGTTCGGGGCCGTTTTCGCGTTGCTGGACTCGTGGATGCACATCATCAACGACAAGATCAGGGGGCAGAAGGTCAGTATCAGTTGGCCGAGGATTTTCGAGAAGGTATCGAAGTTGGACCCGAAGAAGCGCTGGAAGGGCGTGACGGGCATCACCAGAGCGATGGTCAACACGATGCTGGACCTGGGGTGGACACTGCTGGGGCCGCGGCACTGGGTCTCGGACGACGGCGAGGAGTTCGGCAGCGAGGACCCCACGGCTTTCGACGGCAGCGTGGACACCAACGACCTACAGCAGGCGATCGCCAGCACCATCGTGAAGAAGCAGTGGCGGCAGGCGGCCGAGCACTACGCAGGCGGTGGCCTGGAGCAGGGCGCTGACTTGCGCTCAGCGAGAGCACGCATCAAGAGGCTCAGGAAGAGGGGCGAGTACGACAAGGTCGGCGCGCATTTGGCGTGCATGACTGGAGGCGTCTGGCTGCGACAGCGCGTGGCCGATCTCGGGCTGGAGATAGAGGACGTCACATGCCCGCGATGCGGAGAAGCGCCAGAGACGCGGTCGCATCGCATGTGGGAGTGCAAGTGCAACGAGCTGATCGACGCGTGCCAGAAGTCCCAACACCTTGAGGGGCACGCAGCACGCGGCGTCGAGGAGCTGTCCTGCCTGTGGCTCAGAGGCATTTTGCCCAAGTCGTGGACGCAGGTACCTCCTCCACCTGAGCGAGGTTTCGAGCTGCGCGAGCAGATCGGCACCCTAGAGAACCTCTTAGGCGCTTTCTCCCCAGGTACGCATTGCTCACCCTCCCAGCCCGAAGGGCATTGGAGAGCAGAGAGTGCCGACCTCGGGGAGGCAAGCCCAGCGGGCGCAGAGGGTTGGCTCATCGCGGCAGGCGACGCGTCAGGAGGCGAGCGCACCATGGACCCCAGGCTCAGACGCGTGGCGCGGGGCTGGGTCGTGTCGCAGACGGAGAACGCGAACGAGCCGATGGTGGTGGCAGCTTCCCGCGCGGCACTGGATGGTTGGAGGCAGAGCGTGAGCCGTGGCGATCTGATGGCGTTGAAGGAGCTCTTGGTGGCCACCAGAGAGTACCAGAAGGTGCAGCACACAGCGGATTCGCCCTACGCCATGAGAGGCGCGGCGAGGCTTCGTCGCGGCAAGATGCCCAATACGCACGTCGACCTGTGGAACGAGCTGAAGGAGGCCCTGGTCGGCAGAGAGCTCCGCCGGATCAAGATCGAGAGCCGCGTGTCGGCGGACGAAGCAGTGGCGGCAGGAGTGGGCCCAATCTGCTACCTGGGCAACTCGCTGGCGGATAGTTTCGTGGGCGGCATCATCGAGAGGGTGCAGGTGCCCAGAGGAGATGCACGGAGGGTCGGCTGGTGCGACGGGATCGCCACGCTGACCAGGAACAGAGGGCATGCGACGCTGATGGCGGCCATCGAGGTGGAACCGCCCATGGCACCCAGCAAGCCCCAGCGACATGAAGCTTACCTCAAGAAGAAGCGGAGGAAGCAGCGCCTGGACAACACGCAGCACGTGATCGAGACGGCCAGCGGTGGCAAGCACCTCCGCTGTTCGAGGTGCGGAAGCTTGGTACCCGTCGTCGGCGCAGACACGGACAAGTGGTTGGAGGGCGAGTGCGTGAAGCTGGAGCGGGGCCAGGCGTCGGAAGTCGGCGCGCCGGCCTCAGGCGTGCGGGTCGGGCACCAGACGGCCCGCGCGTCGCGCAAGGTTAAGTGCAACGAGGAGCTCGGCCTGCACTGCTGCACGAGGTGCGGGTGCATCGCGCGGGAGTCCATGCGGTCGCTCGCGAAGGAGTGCGGCGAGCGGAAGCAGATGGGCGAGCAGAACCTCGCCAGGATCCAGCAGGGGCTCCAGCCTGGCAAGAGCAAGCTCGCGCTGGAGTGGAACCGCAAGAAGAAGGAGTTGACGAGGTGAGCGGCGCGCCGTTTGCGCGCCCTCACCATCGCGCTTTACTCGGCCTGGGGGGCCAGCGCCGCATTCCAGGTCTTGCAAAAGTCGTCGCCGTCGTGCTCACGAACAGCGACCGCTCACTGCACGTGCCCTGGGGCGCCGCGCCCGGGCCAGAGCCTTGGGGGTGCGGATGCCCCCTGGCGCGGCGGCGCAGACGCCCGCCCCCCACCCCCCCCGAGGCCCGACTTCCGCGGAGGTCGCCCGAAAGCCGCCGCGCCCGGGCATCCGCGCCCCCGAGGCTCCGGCCCGACCGCGGCGCCCCCGGGCACGTGCAGTGAGCGGTCGCTGCTTGTGGGGAGGAGGAGGAGGAGGAGGAGGAGGAGGAGGAGGAGGAGGAGGAGGAGGACGACGACGACGACGACGACGACGACGACGACGACGACGACGACGACGACGACGACGACGAGCACGAGGACGACGAGGACGACGACGAGGACGACGACTCTCTAGAAAAAGGAGAACAACATGATCATGAACTTTCGGATCCGCATGGATTTCTTGGATCGGCGCTGGGCCCCCCCTCCCGGGCGCGCGGAGCGCGCCGGAGGCAATGCCGGAGGCGCTGCCACGGGCCACGGGGGGACAGCGCGGATCAAAGAAATCCGCTCGGACTTCCCACAAGTTTTGTTTGCGTCGTTTTCTCGGCTTGCAGATCCTCGCACCTCGACGACGCGTCCTCGGACCTCTATTCCCAGGCGTCCGACGATGTGATTTCTTCAGCGCGCGGTTCCAAAAACCGTGGGACAGCGTCTCCAGTCCCAGCTCCACTTCTGGCTGCCCCGTGGCCCAACAACGGGTCCCGGGGGGCCGAGATCGTGGAACAACGCCAGGATTGGAGCAAATACCATCTCGTCGGTGATGGGGGTTTCCAGGCCACAGGTCGGGCCTCCGCCGGCCGTGCGGGACGACTCTGGCATCCCCACAGCGCTCTCGGCGAGGCGCAGCTGCTGGAAAGCATCCTGAAGTGAGAAAACCTACAGGGACCAACGAGAACCGACGGATAAGACCGTTAGTCGACTGTGCGTGAGGGAAACCCTTCGCCGGGGTGACCTTTGGTGCGTGCCCGCTGGGGTCCCCCGATCGCCGAACGCGATGCGATAGTAGCGGTTTGCGCGCCTGCGTTTGGTCACCCCGCGGTTTCCCAAAAAGGCCGTCCACCAAGGGTCACTCTTACCCAGGGTCGCTCTTGCGTGTAGCCGAGTTGGGCTTTTGAAGAAATATGGCCACAACGGCGGCGGCAGCGGCGGACTGGGCGGCGGCGCCGTCGTGTCGCCCGCCGAGGTGAGCCTCGCTCGCCCGCGGGCGGGGGTTCCGTTGCCGCCGAGCTGGCCTCCAAGTTCCGAGAGGAGCCGGGAGCGCCTTGGCTGCTGCTTGTCGTCGTCGTTGCCGCCGCCGTTTTCGGCACGTCGTCGCTTTCGTCGTTTTGCTTCGCTTTCGTCGTTTTTGTTGCAGGCGGCGTCGTTTTGGTCGTTGTCGTCGTCGTGGCATCTGGTGCTGTGGTTGTCCTTCTCCGCCTGCTCTTCCTCCTCCTCCTTCTCCTCCTCTATTCTGTTTCCTTAGGAAGTAACTTGTCCTTGTCGCACCCCGAGGCCAGTTTTTAGGGCGGGCTGGGCGCTTCGCCTGAGACTTCCTCACCACTTATGATTCTGAAACTTCAAAGTTGGCAACAATTTCACAGATGGAGGGCGGGCGGTTTTCAAAATGTGGCTCTCGCCTTAGCGCCGCGCGCATTCGTTTTGAACATTTGCAAGAGTTTCACGGATCACCCGTTTTCAAAATGTGGCTCTCGCCTTAGCGCCGCGCACATTCGTTGTAAAAGTTTGTGAGAGTTTCACTGATTGAGGGCGGTTCCTTGTCCAAATGTGGCTTTCGCCTTTGCGCCGCGCACATTCGTTTGAAACATTTGCAAGAGATTCACGGATTGAGGGCTGTTTTTTTCAAAATGTGGTTCTCGCCTCAGCGCCGCGCACATTCGTTTGAAACATGTGCAAGAGTTTCACGGATTCCCACGATCAGCGAACCAGAAATTGTGTTTTGGAAGGATTCCGGATTTTGCGGGTGCAACAGTTACGTTGACTCGCGGTGTTGAAATCTCAAGAATGGCGTTCTGGCACGATCCAGGATCGTCAAGACGCAGCAGTCAGGTTGATCCGTGGCGTTGGAATCCCGAAAACAATGTTTTGGCACGCTTCTGGGTCTTCAAACGGTTGTCTTCCAACGAGGCAGATCCCTCAATGGAAATGAGCCGTTGTAGGGGCCTATGAAGAGGGAGCTTGGAAGGAGGGTGTATTCCAACATCGTTGATGGCTCTTGGGTTTACACTGGTCCTCCTCCTCCTCCTCCTCCAACTGCCGTGACAGCTCAAGGCGGCTTCACAGCAGCGTCCATGCGGTCCACCAGGGGACCCGTCTGGCTCTTCGCCGAACACCCAGCCAGACAGCGGCGGCCCGCTGGCCGATGACCCTCCGCCTCTTGGGGTTTAATCCCCTACATGCTGCAGGGTCGAGAATGGAACATATTATATTGGCATGCCCCAACATGGACATCGTTGCCCTGGCGGGAACCCGCTCGACCCATCGAAAGAGTGAGGAGATTCTTGGACGGCGCATCGCAGGTCATCAAGTCTTGGAGGCAGGAGCAGGAGATGGGCCATATACTAATCGTTCGACTGGATGCGCAGTTATTTTACACCCGTCCTTCTCCCAGAAGCACATTCGCAGGACGTGGGCGAGCCCCCCAGGGGCGTATGGGCGTGCCATGGCAGTGCGACTTCTTCGAGGACCCCTCGATCTGACGATCATCATTCTATATTTTCCTCTCCAGCCGAAGTACGCGAAGGAGGAACCCAACTACCTGCAGACGGTAAAGGTGCTCATAGCCTGGTACGGTAGCGTACTTTCGGCACTACCTTTTCGGAGCACACCAATATTATATGTGGACCTCAACGACGGGCAGGGCATCAGCAGAGCGGCAGGCACGTGGCAAGAGGTTGTGACCGACGCAGTGGGTGACGGCCGCAGTCGAGAGCATCGCAGACTGGGAGCAGGTGAGCGACTTCGACAGGTACACGAGCAACATTTTATGCTGGCTAGAACACACGGTCGGCGGATCTACAACCCACTTTCTTCGGCACTTCTGGCGGTCAGAGTACCATTGATTTTATCTGCGCCCCATTGGGCATGACGGATTTCGTTCGAGCTTGCCACCCTTTTGTATCGAGTTGGAGCCGCACTTCAAGCATACCGTGGACGTCCTCCTCGAGACCATGTGCCACTGCACATGGAAATGAGATGTGTTAAGGACTGGGCCCCCGCGAGAAAAGGTATTCAAGCCTCCTTGATGAGAAGTTGGCAACCTGTGAGGCAGCACTCAAAAAGGATTTCTCAACAGCTCAAGCTTCAGCGTCAGGAGCTACAACGTCGACGACGTGGGGACCTTCTGCAGGAGATCGACGACGCCTGGAACAGACGGAAGCTTGCAGAGGCTATGCGACTTACACGACTCGCGGGGGCATGCAGATATGGTGCAAAAAAGGGACGGCCGATTGATTCGAGGTGGCGCGTTCACGGAGGCAGAGATCACACAGTATTGGGGCGTCCCTGGCTGCGAGGGCGGCATGCGCGCGTCGCCCAAGACGGTGGCGCAACTCCTGGAAGAATATCCTGATCCTGGGCCTGTTTGTATCAGTGTCGACGACTGCGAGTTGGCACAGAAGGGACGCATGGCGAGTCACACGTTTTTTTCGGCGAGCACAAAAAAAAACGAGCAGTGCCACGAGATACTGCGCCGATGGAGCTATGGTTGATGTGCTTGGACCCAGAGCGCAACATCAAGCACGCCGGCTACGGAGTAGGTTTTGATCTTTCATCGCCAGATATGGAATGTTTCAAAAAATCATGGAAGCAGCCTTTCGGCAGATCCGCTCGACCAACAGGGTACCAGTGGCATGGCATCACAGTCAGGGCGCTCAGCTTCGGAAGAATGCGACACCTGGGCCCAGGGGTCGTCGAACTGTGCACGTGATGAGCGCCCTGGGTAAAGCTTTTTATCATGACATGATGTACGTGCCTCATAAGATTTTCGAGCACGGCTTCATCCCAGGCAAGAGGCGCGATGGCGCCATGTTCGTGAATCAGTTGCTAGGCTGGCGGCTTCGCAGGGCAGGCTGCTGCTTTGCCTGAGTTACAAGGATATGAGCAACGCTTTCGCTTGTGGGCGGTGGGAGGAGTTGGAGGAGACCATGCGCATGTGCGCACAGCCCGAGAATATAGATCTCTGTATTCAACGTTTCAAGCTCAGCACGATCACTCTTGAGACTCTGGAGGGCGAGGTCACTTTGAAGACGGGCGAAGGGGGGCTCATGGGGGGCCCGTTCGTGGCCCAGCTCTTTCGGGGTACGTTTGCACGACCGCTAACGACATGGAAGTACGCACTGCAGACTCTAGACACTACGGCTACTAAGTTAACGGCAAGATGGAGGGACTTGAGAGCTAATGTGGGGGATGCACTTACGCCGACGACGCTTTTCAGGCACGTCTGGTTCCCGTCCCGATCCCCCTTAAAGACTTCTTGGACACGCTGAGGGATTTCGACGACGATCTTGATCAGAAGCTTGGGGAGGTGGGGTATGCTCGGAATCCATCGAAGCAGGAACTCCATATGTATTTTCATTGGACAGGGGCCGCAACCTGTAAAAGGTGGGCGCGATCCCATCCAGAGCTTGCGCCGGGAAACTTTAAGGGCACAGTGCGCTACCTTGGCCGATGCTGAGTATCAACCAGCCAGTCGAGATCGAGGTTGGCCGACGCTGCGCAGCGAGCGCAGACTCTTTTTACTGATTGGGTAGAGTATGGTCTCTTGCACTGCCGTATCGGTGGATACGGACTCTGTTCATCAACACTGTGCAGAATACAGCCCTCTCGGGCCCCGAACCCCTGCTCCTGGGCCCAGTGCACTACGGTGGGCTAGACGGTCAGATCGCACGACTCGGTCGACGGGCGATGCAGGGACGAGCTACGACCTACCACGAGGACGAAGTACGATCGATGTCGACGAAGGAGATATTGGCATATTGGAGGATCGCGTCGTCGGAGACGGAACTCATCATTCGTCGTCTCCATTGGTATGTAGGATGGGCCAAGGGCCCCAAGAGGCATTCCCAGGAGCTCTGTCTACTTTTCGGGTTTCTCGAGGTTCCTGGAGATCGAGGTGGGCACCTAGCTGGGGATGTACCTTCTACTGCAGCTTCCCCATGGCTCCACAGGCTCCAGAGGGACTTCCAGAGGGCCGCCGGGGACTTGGACGGGGGGCAAGAAGTGTGCAGCTACATCAGTGCTAACCTGGGGCGGTTGACCGACAATGACGTTTTTTTGAAGAGCTCTCCCAGTTAGACTTCACGGAGATCCGAGCTCGTGCCCTGTCGCATGCTGTTCCACCGACTCACGCGCAGACGGTGCCTGAAGCTGTGCCTCCACCCGCTGAGGCCCAGAAGGACTGGACGTGCGACTGGCTGCTCGAGACTGAGATGGGCGAGAAATTATCCCGGCAAAGCAACCTAACAGCGATGTGTAGAAGCATATCTGAAAGCATTCCCCTTAAGATTCAGATGAAAATCCGGTTGTCGAATTCTGCTGTTCTCGCAGTCGTAGTCGCATTCGCGATGACAGTCGCAGCGGCAACGGCAGTCGCAGTCACAGCCTCAGCCTCAGCCTGCCTCCTCCTCCTCCTCCTCTTTCCTCCTGCTCCTCCTCCTCCTCCTCCTCCTCCTCCTCTTCCTCCTGCTCGTCCTCGTTCTCGTCCTCCTCGTCTTGCTCGTCCTCCTCCTCCTGGTGCTCTCTCCTCCTCCTCCTCCTCCTCCTCCTCCTCCTCCACCTCCTGGTGGTCCTCGTTTTCCTCCTCCTGGTGCTCTCCCCCCCCCTCCTCCTCCTCGTCCTCCTCCTCCTCCTCCTCCTCGTCCTCCTCCTCCTGGTGTTCTCTCCTCTCCTCCTCCTCTCTCTCCTCCTCCTCCTCCTCCTCCTGGTGGTCCTCGTTCTCCCTCCTCCGGTACTCCCCCCCCCCCTCCTCCTCCTCGTCCTCGTCCTCCTCCTCCTCCTCCTCCTCTTCCTCCTCCTCCTCCTCCTCCTCCTCCTCCTCCTCCTCCTCCTCCTCCTGGTACTCCTCCCCCTCCCCTCCTCCTCCTCCTCCTCCTCTCCCTGGTCGTCCTCCTCCTCCTGGTCGTCCTCCTCCTCCTGCTCGTCCTCCTCCTCCTCCTGCTCGTCCTTCTTCTCCTGCTCCTCCTGCTCCTCGTCCTGCTCCTGCTCGTCCTCGTCCTCCTGGTCTTGCTCGTCCTCCTCCTCGTCGTGCTCTT